AAAAATACTATTATTGTTGTTGTTGTTATTATTATTATTATTATTATTATTATTATTGTAATTGTAATTGTAATTGTAATTGTAATTGTAATTGTAATTGTAATTGTAATTGTAATTGTAATTTTTTTTTCATTAACCTTGAGAGCTTTAGGGTTGAAAAGCTCTAAATATTTATGGTTACTATTATACCAAGAAAAAGCCTATTTGGCTTTTTTGTGGTTGAACACAGTGAAAGAAAGCATTTGTATATGAAATGTTGCTGGTAAGCCTGGCTTTTATAGCTGTGTTTACACTTAAATCATCCAACCAATTTTCTGTTAAACAACAAACTTTGTTGCTTGTTGGATTTGTTCCTCTCCTTTTCCTCTGTACTCTCATTCTTCCCATATAGATTAAAAAACAGTCATGTTTGCTGAGTGGTAACAAGTAAGACATCTTTACTGGTTTCAGACTGACCCTTTTATTGGTGCCAATAATTATCTCAAGATACTTGATTTTGTTTTAGACATTTCTCTTGGAGTGTTTCTAGTGTGGTGCCAGCAGATCCCTTCTCAGCAGTGTATTTTAGAGACTTTCTGCTCCCCAGGGACTTATCCTGTGTTCACAAGGTGTCACAGGCAGATTCCTTATAAGCCCATGTTATATTTTAGTATGCTAGGGAATATTCATTCAGCATCTTACTACATCAGTTTTGCTGAGTGAGATTGGAAAGGGTTATTAGGCAGTACTGATGGACAGAGCAATCTTATTTTTAACCTCAGCTAGTATGACCTGTCTTATGGGGGGATGCAGGCTGTAGCTTTTCTACCTTTGTTTGTGCCTTAATGCCTTCTCTTGGTTAATAGTTTAGACTATGTATTAAACTTAGTTTAGAAATACAGAAATTAATCTTACGCAATTATTCCTGAGAAAATGCTGCTTCATCACCTGATTACTTCCACCAAAAAACTGACCTCAGAGATGCTGAAACATAGTAGGTTATGGCTAGAGGAGCGTGTTTAAGTGCCCATATTTCTTCATGTTGAACATGCTTCATGACCTCAATCACTGAAAGTAAATTCAAATAAGTTTTGATGGTGTGTCTTTGTTAGGTAATGTAGCTCTGGGAAATTAATTAAGACTGAATGTTGAGCTACCTGTTCATGGTGACAGGAGTTAAATATAACTTCTTGACAAAAGTTTTTGGTTAAAACAACTCTGGTCTGCTTGTTAAGGTTAGGAGTCTCACTTTTTTGTGTGATTTATAAATGGAAGAGGCATGTAGGAACATTCCAGAGACATTCAGTCTACTCCCATGATCCTGCTTCTGCTGTTTATTTTGAAGGATGGGCAAAAACTACCTTTGAAACCTGCTTTCTTTCAAGGGCATCATTAGCACCTCCATGGCCTGGTAGCTTCCCTGAAACTGGCCACAGGTTTGGGCCATGTCAAAAGTGATGTAAAGTGCAATAAAAATATGTACTCCTCTCTCAGTGCTGACTGTGAAATGAAAGGCTTCCTTCACTTCTGGTCAGTGTGCAGATCACAACGTGTGCTGCGAGATGGTGGCAGTTTTTCCTGACGTCAAGGGGGGGCCACTGCCAGCAGCTCATTACACACACATCACCTCGGTAATGCACCTGCTGGCTGTCACTATAGCAACCCCCTGGAAAATTACCGTAGCAGCCACTAGAATTCATTTTAGAAAGCTAATTACAGGTACAATGAATTTTTTTAACTCAGTCTGTGCTATGAATTTACTCAAATCTATGTGGTTTGGATATTTATTTTTTTAAAGTAATGTTATGCCATGTTTTGTTCCTTTGTATAATGCCTGTCTCAGTAGGTACTGTTTGGGTGAGGGGCCCCATAGCTACAGGGTGCCTCATTAAAATAAGCCATTTCTTATCAGTTGATAAAAATTAAATTTAGCGTGCCATATACTTGAGACCTAAATGGCTTACACAGTGACTGCTACCCGTGTAACTGAACTCCCCATGGCAACACTGGTGGTTACCCACTGCTTGACTAGCCCTCAAGACAGCTGCCAGGGTATTTCCAATAGTTATATTGTTATTACGGGTTTTAAAAGTTAATAAACTGAGGAAACATCTGGTTTCGGCAATTGTTGGCAACACACTTTTTGTGGAAGTTCCAAGTCTATGACAAGTCTTGTGGTTTGTTTGCAAGAGGGCGTGTGCAGCCATTTCTGGTACACGCGGAGGAGTTAGTTGCATTGTAAGGGTTGATTGCAGTGTTTGTGCATACGTTTTGAGCTAGGCAGTTATCCTAAAAGACCTTATGTTTATCCCTTATACCCTCAATTTTTTGCATATGCACAGGATTTGTTTGCCCAGATGAGCAATGTACTTGTCAGTACTTCATTTAGGTCTGCATTAAGTAAATGCTTTAAAGCCATGGTGAATAATTTTTTAAGTAAGCAGATCTACAAAAAAAAAAATATTAAAATCTTCATTTTCTTTTCCTCCTCATCCGTCTGAATTCAGACCTGAGACATTTCATATAGACCTGGCTTCTTAAGTCCTTTTCTGGTTGCAGATAAACCAGTGGAGGAAGTTACTCCACCCTGTTTTCCTGCTGGAGTTTATGGACTTCCCACACCCCAGGCTGTATTAATCAAATAAAATAGCTTATTATGAACTGTTTCAATTGTGCTTCTTCACTTTTCCAAATGATTTTGACAGAAATGTGTTATTGAGCTAATGCACAAATGAAAGCTTCCAGCTAGGGATGGGCAGAGGTGCAGCTAGAGTGGGCCTTGAGCCAGCACAGTAGAAGGTGGGAAAGAACTGGTATTAGCTAGCACATTTTTAATTTTTATTATTAAAGTTGCCGATTGCTAAATTAATTTTAAAAAAATAAAATTTTAGTGTTATGAGCTGTAGGATGCTTAATGCCTATGCATGCAGTGCTGCATTCTCCTGGTGATCAGATGATCTCTATAAATCATAGCTTTCATGTGGGGAGAAAAAAGTTAATTTTCCAACATTTTTGTTGTGAGGAAGATTTGAAAATATGTCTTTATTGTAGCAGTGAATTGAGCTATGCTAAACCAAATAAAAGTAATTCAAAGTTTTCAGTGTTACAGGAACAGTTGCAATAGTAATTCGTAATTACTATTACAGTGGAAATACAGTAATATGTGAAAATTGTGTGCGTGGGTGTTCTGGTTGTCTTTTCTTTTTATGTAAATAGTCACCTGTATTACTTCACATATTCCATCAGCATTTTGAAGCAGTGAGTCAACCCAACAAATCAGCTATTCTGAAAAATCTGACTGTCACCCCATCCCTCCTAAACCATTGCAAAAATCTGTTCTTGCACTTTCAGGAAAGAAAATGTCTTGCTTTTTGTCTGTATAGTCCTGTGGACATAGAAGTATAGTGTTACGCAATTAAAAGTCATTATGATATATAGAGCATGTGTTAATTTGCTCCCACTGCCATTTTACAGAGATTGCACCTGACTGAAGAGAGATGATACATTTCTGCAATATAGCAGCTGTGATATAAAGCAGTGCATACAGTGGAAAAGAAAGACCCTGATGTCAGTTCCAATGATACATCTTTTAACCAAATATAAATTTTAAAAATTTAAATTTTTTAATAGATTTTAAAAAATTAATTGTGTAACTTTGTTTTAGAAGGTATGTGAACTTTAAGCTGGACTTAAGGAGTTTTTTTGTGATTTTAGAGTGTCTTGAAGAGAAGTTTGTGTTGCTACTTTAAGTCTGATTGTCAGAAACATGCTTAATTCCTGTGAAGTTGATAGCAGCATGTGAAGTTACATATCCTCATGTGGTAGGAGGAAGTGTAACTGATACACAGAACTGTAGAAGTCAGTAGCAGAAAAGATCTTACTCCTTTGATTCAGAGCAAAAATACACAAACTTAATAAAAATCTGAATTCCAGCACAAGTGATTATTCAGCAGAAATGTCTCCCTTAAAAAACATTAAAGTAAAATAATCAAAACTTGAATGGAGAAGTATTTTTTTTTCCATAGAAAGAATTCCACTGGCTACTTGCTGCATGCTTACAGCATGTAAGTAGCTGGTTTGTTGGGTTTTTTCCACCAGCAAATTGATGATGTACTTGTGCATTCTGCTTTTTGTGTAAAACAGCTGAGGGCAGATGAAGTGCACAGACTGTCAGGCCTTTTTCTTATTGGCAGAAACTCATCAGAAAATTTTTCAGAACAGTAGCTTCTGAATTAGCTGAGATACATGGTTCAATACATCTTGCTAGCTATGTGTAACCATCTCACTGTCAATGTTTATCATTGGATTAATATTTCATTAATAAAATCATAGTGAGTGACATTTTATTATGGTTTTGGTTTCCTCCCAGACCTAACAAATTAATTCTCTATTTTTGCTGTAAGGTTGAAATCAAACTACTTTTTTTTCTGTCGTTGTTCAGGATAACTTGTTCTTGCTATTTCATTAAGAAATCATTCAGAGCATCTAGAAGTCATCTCATGATTTCTTGTGTGGGTTTATTTTAAAAGAGCACCTTCACTAGTATCTACAAGGGAAAGGATATGTTCAGAGCTTAGTGATACTTCATAATCATTTGATAAATTACAAGACCATTGCTCTGCTCCCCTAGAATGAATGAGGCCATCTGTAGATTAATTTATCTTCTCAGTGGCTAACTCTAGGTGTTGGGAAGTAACCAAATGCCCAAGAAATATATTTTGTGCAGTAGTCTTTCTTACAGATGCTTACTATGGGGAGAGCCCAAGGTGCCTGGTGCACTGATTTCATGAGATGTCCTTGACCTAAACAGGCTATCGTGTACCTTGGTACATTTCTTGTTTGAAATATCTTCTATGAGAATTAATTAAAACCTCCAGTACACTGGTGGTTCATGGTTGAAGCTCACCATTAAGCCATAGTGGAAGAGTTTCATGTTGTAGTTAAATAACCTTTACAAGCAGTTTTGTAGCAAATTTGTGTTACTTGCTTGCAAGCTGGGGTTTATTTCACATACTGCAGACTTACTAACTTAATTGGAAGCTTCAGTGTGAATGCAGGACTTTCAGGTGCTAGAGACCCCAGTAAGTATTCAGTGCTGCCTTATGATAGCAGGATCTGGAGAGTTTTTAAGTTTGTCAGTGGGTGGAATTTTCCCATTCAAAGATTTCATTTATTTATTTGTTTGTTTATTTATTATTTTTCCAAACAATAAAATTTATGTTCCCATCATTTTATATCTGATAATTTTCTATTCTGTAGCAGTTCACTGTTCCTTCGGAGATTGATGTTTGTCTATCCACTTATCTGTGTAGAGACAGCACAATGAATATTAAAAATACGTTACACATTCAAATAAAACTGTGCAATTTTGTATTTCTCACACATTTCATAATTTGTTTCTAGAATGCCTAGAATTTTGTAATTGAAAACTTTGAATCTTTAGTGAATATGCATGTGAAAGCCAAGCAAACTCACGTGAAAAAACCTCACAATAATTATGCTGCCCTTCTGTAGAACTCATGTGAAGCTAGGATTTTGTATAGGCAGGCTAGAGGGAGCAGATTTTTATACTTTGTCCTTTGTTTTATGCCGATAATGCTGTTTTTTCTGTTGTACTTCCTCCTACCCCACAGCCCATTTCCATTCCCAAGTCTTCCTTTCTCTTTTCCTCAGTGGGATGATGGTGTCACTGTCTTGCATTCCTGTTGTTTCTCCCTGCCTATAGCTATCTTAACGACTTGGACCGCATAGCAGATTCCACCTACCTGCCAACTCAGCAAGATGTGCTCAGAGTTCGAGTCCCAACAACAGGGATCATTGAATATCCATTCGACTTACAAAGTGTCATTTTCAGGTAGAAAAAATGTTTTTACACCCACTTCATTTATTTAGTTTCCTTTTATATTAGAAATACCATGTATAGGATATTGGTTAAAAGTGCATAAAAAGCAATTCTTCTATCTTTTAAAAATTAGAGCTAAGTCATTATATTTTCATGTAACTCTCTGCACATAATAAGGAGCTGATGCTAAACATGTCAAATGGATGAAAGAGAAGTAGATTTGTCTTTTTCTGAAGGTCCTCATAATTCATGTAAATTATGGAATGCAAAGTTAACACTTCTTTAGTTGATTTTTAGAGAGCAATCACCCTACTTCAGTGCAAGTGCAGTGTTTAAAAAATAACTGCAATTGCAAGTTAGACACACCTGTGTTTAGTTACACTGAAACATGGGATGAAGTGGGAATACACTGTGAGCAAATTTGAGTTCTAATTTTTACTATTAAAAATGTTAGTAGGTAAGTTCTATATTCTGTTTGTTCTCTTAAAATGAGGTAGATTGAATGGCTGAGAATTTTGACTCCAGCAATTTTGGGGGGAAAAGGTGCACCAAAATCTATGCTGTTCACATCTGTTTCTGCTGAATACACAGGGTATACATTGCCAAATCATGGCTCAAGAGACCTTTGTGTCTCAGAAATCCGAGGGTTTTGAGATCCAAAATAATTTAGATACAGAAAACACAGCAGACTTAGAAGCAAATGTGATTAACTGTCTACTTGCAAAAGATTCCATTAAATATCAGAGGAAAAAATAATTAAGAAAAACAAATCAAAGTCTGTTTTCAAATAAATTATTTAATTCTGTCATTGTGTGTCTGCTTGTGTGTTTATCTGTTAAGATATTAATGGACTGGATTAATGTGGATCTCAATTTTGCAGAATGGTGGATGTAGGAGGCCAACGATCAGAAAGAAGAAAATGGATACATTGCTTTGAAAACGTCACATCAATCATGTTCCTAGTAGCTCTAAGTGAATATGACCAAGTGCTTGTGGAGTCAGACAATGAGGTAAGCAATCATCAGTGAAAATGACCAGTTTAAAAGAAAAAATAACTTCACTTGTCCAGTCCCAAGTGTTTTCCAAATACATCTACCAGCAGTCATACACAACTACGCCCAATGAGTGAACAAACCTACAGGGATCAGGAGGAGAGAAGGGAATCAATCTTCAATCAGGCAAAGCTGATCTGGTTCATTAAGGATTCAAAGAGACCTATCCATTTTATGTTGAAGAGGAATAAATACAGTTTAATATGGAGAAACTTGCTTAGTGTAGCTATTTTTGCAGTTCATGTTTATGTAGCAAAAAGAGGCAATGGTAATGGAAGACAAAATTAATATATTCTTTGCTAGAATAGACCATAAAGTAGCAAACTTTATTCCTTTGACGTAAACCATAGGATGTACTTTGTGTTTTTATTTCAAAAAATAACAGAAATAAGAAAGTGGATGAACTGAGGAGGCAAAGCACACTGGTGTCCAGTATTTTGAATGCAGTTTTACAGGGCAGGGAGATGATTTAATGTTGTGATTTTTTTAATTTCCTGAGAGCCGTTTTAAGTTATTCATGAAACTTGCAAGTTACTCACTGCCACTGTCCTGCGCAAATCTTTTAACACATATTTAGAAAAGTTAGGTGAAAAAAAGAAAATATTTTATGGCTACAAACATCTTTATTTCACTGTTGAAGAAAATTGTTGACATAATAAAGTAAAACACGTGTCCCTGTTTGTATTCTGGACTTTCTTCAGGATTAATTTTTTAATAAAGCCTGGGAGCTCAGAAAGCTTTTACATTTGCAGTCTTTCCATAAAGGAAGAATATCCTTATGCTAGTTATATAATCAGCTATATCATTAAAAGGTCAGTTTACAAAACTGTTTATGTAATCTGCACCAACTTCATTTCTTGTGTATTTTGGAAACTAGACACATGTGAATAAAAGGAACTCAGCCAGTCTTGGCTCATTGCAAGCCAAGATAGAAATGTCTGGTTCGATCTTTTCCTGTTTCTTTTGTAGCCACAAATTTAACATAGAAGTATTAAGCATTTTAATTTTACAAATTAAAACAAAATATATTGACAATCACATAAGGAAAAATTAGTTACGATAGTTTTCAAATGCTATTCTAACTATCCAGGATAAACTTCCAAGATTCTTGATGTTAGCTATTTATCACACTATTTTCATAGTGTATTTCAAGAAATTCTCCTAGAACTGTCTCATAGGCAGAACTTACCAGACTCTTGTTTGCCTGTTTAGTGTATCCTTTTCTAATTAGGTGGCTTGCTCAAACCCTTCCTCTGGTTTGTCACTTAACTTCAGTGTGCAGATGTGACGTACAGCATCCCTACTATAGAAGACAGGAAGATAGAGTGGTTTCTTCCTAGGCTAGATCATTTGGAGTATGCAGTCTTGCTCTGTGCTCTTGTATGCTGAAAGGGTTCCTAAGTTGTGAACTGAATAGAACATCTGACTGTAGACTTTCCTTAATGTTTTGGGCTCCCCAGTGCCTGAAATGACACCTAAAGTTGTAATAGCTTTTCCACAACTACTTTCCAACTATTACAAAAAATACCACTTTACTCATACAGATGTTTTGATTTTTCACATTCTCACTTTTGAAACACTTCATGGAGGCAAAAGCTGTAAAACTCCTTATTGTCTTGCAGATCGTTCTTCCGCCTTACTGCTAAACTATGTTTTTTGTTAACAATATTACAAAACTTCTGAACCTTTTTTATTTCAGTTTAAAATACATCATAACTTCCAATTGAAACCAGCTTTTTCTTTTCGGTCATGCATACATAGCCTAGTAGTGCTTTTCAGCTGCCTTAGGCGTGTGTTACTCCAGCTCTGGGATGGATCCAGACAGTCTTTGAGCTGAGCACCCACCTAGGCAGCTTAGTTTTGGCTTGCAGGAAGCTGTAGGCTGTCTAGATTTTGGTACCCAGAGCACTGCTTTCTTGCCTTCCTTTTCCCTTCCCTGTATCTCTAAACATTGCAGTCCCAAAATACATAGGAAAAAAATGGGTTTGTTTATTCCACGTAAAGCGAAGCATGGTTTTTCTGAATGTGGATGTGTGGCAGAAATATGGGAAAAGGTTTTAAGTGTGTTATTTGACACTTGGAATTGAGAAGTTTGTCCTCCCCAGGTATTTTTATTCTTCACTGTAGTGTGATAAGCTCAGTATGGAACACAGTAATTTAACTTTGAGACTAGGGTGATTAGCCAAGAGACACTTTTTTTGCACTTATGTTAAAATTGTGAAACAGTATTAAAATTTTAGCACCAAAATGAGAGAGTATGTGTAAATGCCCTACTTTCTTTGTATGTATGCCACCGGTGTGATACTATGGTAGACTAATCCTCTACTCTGTGCACCTCTGACTGAAATTAAAAGATCTGACTTGACAAGTTGCAGTGTTCTGCTCATTTTGCATTGCTTTCATGGCCTCATTAAACAGTATGATTTTTGTAAGATGGCCTGCTTTCTTTTTCTAATTAGTCCACTGCATGTTCTTGCTTGAAGTCTTTTTCCTCATAGTATGTTTTTTAAAAAGAAAATACACTTCTTAATAATCTGTGGCATTCTTTTTAGTTGCCACATTTTTTTCATTAATCTAATTTTCATGAGTAAATAAAAATCTGTAAAAATTATTTGCTATCATTACATGTGTGTTTGTGTGACCCTTATGAAGCTGATGTAGAGCCCATAAAACTCCTGGTTTGTATTTCAAAATGTAGTGCTTGGTAGACTCTCATTTGTAAATCCATTTCTTCCCTTGTTTAGCTTATCTAAGATAAATGCATGTGGATTATAAATCAGATGAAGCTATACTGAGTTGAGAGGCTTCTCTAGTGCCTCTTAAGGGCTTTTACTCACTGGGTATGTGTGGGGTTGAGCGGGGAGCTGTTTCTGTCTTCATGCTCTTGGAGGAGTTAAATGTTAAAAGTTCTGAGGGATATATTGTAACTACTCCTTAAATTGACATCTTACTTAGAAAATAAGATGCATTTTCCAATTATGTTATTCAGAGTCCCAGGTAGGGGAACTTTTAAAATATACATCCATGTCATTGCACTCTCATGAAAAAGTTCTGCAGGAGAGTTGTGGGCTGCAATCTTGAAGAAAAACAAGTGCAGCTGCCCAACTGTATTTAAACTGTTCCTCCTCTAAGAGACAATAATCACAAGCAACATCATGTCTCCTCTCTTAAATATGTGTCTAGACTGTACAGAAATTGGCATCTGATTGGTAAGGACAATATATTTTAAAATTTCAGATGCTGTACACTTTTGAAATGTCTTTGTCTTCCTAAATACATGAGAAAGGAGAGACAGCAAACTGTTCCAAATTCTGCCCTTAATAAAACAGTAAGTCTGTCTAGATTAATTGGTGGAAATTGGGACAAATTTTGATCCAGAGGACATAATATACTAATTACATTAATAGTACTGTAAATTAAGTAAATTGTCTCTCAGTATGATATGATGTGACAAAGGAGAACATGTTACAAGTTAGATTGACCTTTTCACTTTTTCAGAAAAGTCTGACAAAACTAGAGGTGAGATAAAAATGAAGGAATCATCTTTCTGGTAAATGAATTCGTGAGTATGTCCTCTATGTCAGGTTTCTGCTCTGAGTTATACTGGCAAATCTGGGGAATTTGCAGTTTTATCAAAAAGAACAGTTTATAATCTCTCCATTTTAAAAATCAACTTGTTTTCTTAAATAAAGCACTTTATAATACATACCACAGGTAGGCATGAAATCTCATGGTCTCAGTGCAATAAATGCAAAAATTAGTTCCAGCTTTGTAAGAAAAGCAGTAACTACTTTCCCTAACTGAAGGACCAGAGACCTCAGAACAGTATACCTGTAAAATCTGTTTTCATAAAAAAGAGGTTTTAATTATCTTTGAAGAGCTTGTTAAGTACTTGGAGATGGCAAAATAAAGAATAGTCTTTATTGATGTTTCTACATATTTTTATTCTAAATTAGTGCAATAAACATTTCAAGACATTTATTATTTCATATAGCATGTTTATGATGGTTATTAAATTACTGGCTTTTTATGGGTAGAGATCTTTCTTTTTATGTGTTCCTGGAGGAAAACGAAGACAGGATTCAGTTTCTTCAGTTGAACTAAGTTTTTCTAAGAGAAATTTTTAAATTTTCTAAAGTATCAAAAAGCAAGTACTGTCTTTCCTGAGGTACCGTCAGAGGCTGCAAAGCTGCAGAGACATTGGACAGCATAAAGTATTGGTTGATAAAAGACAGATTGTAAAGCTACTTTACTTTTAGAAGTAAACCAGTATGAGTATTCTGAACATTCATTGCACAAAATAAATGGGGGGATTATTTTGGTCAGAGCTGATAAATTTTAGTTTGAAAACAATAATAGAAATACAGTTATAAAATGTGAAGTTTTAACAGGATGAGAGATAAATGTTACTAATATTTACAACTAATATTCCTTCCACTTAGACTTTTGAGTAAGAAATTTCACTAATGCCCAGCATTATAAATAGATACTTTGTGTCCTATATATATATATACAAATACCTTATCTCTGCATCTTTATGCCTTAGGAAAACAATAGGGTTTTTTCATAAATTTATTGCTAAGCAATTTTTTTTCATTTATGAATGAAATAAAGGAATAATTGATGTGTCTCTTCCTTTGTTACAATAGTAACAGAAATGTAACTTAAAAAATTTGTATTTCATTGATAGTTTATTTGCTGGGTTTTCACTGATGTTGACTAGTAAAGCAAATAGAACCAATGTTACTATTAAGGTCTAATTAATTTATCTATCCTATCCAGACAGGTAATTTGCAACCCTTTCAAGAGGTTTATTTGAAACTATTATTAGTTCTTTTTACTCAGAAAAGGAGGAGATTCTTGTCAAGTAAAGTACTGCTCATTCTTTGAAAAGCTTTTGTTTTAAAGCTTTTTAAAAAGCTTTTGGGTTTGTTTCCTTGGTTGTTTGGTGTTGTGTT